AGAATGTCTATAACCACTATGGGGTAACGGAATTCGCCACAGGTTCAATATAATTTTGCATGCCACAAATATAATGCTAATACAAATGATGGAAACAAAAGTTTATCGATTGAAAGAATAAACATGTCTTCATTATATTTACTATTGTTGTTCACATCAGGTGTATAGTGTAGTGTCTTGTTTGTGTATAATTGTGCAGGTGAAAAGACCAAAGAAACAACTTGTAGTGCTCCTTCAGCTACTAGTACTCCTTCAGCTTCAGAATCTCCCTCGACATCCTTAGCATCTACATCGGCTGAGACACCATCTAAGGCTGGTCGGAAGCGACAAGCACCAGAATGGTTTAAGCAGTTTACAGAGGAAAACAAAAAACAGTTGTCCCAAATGGTCATGCAACAAGCAACAGCAAATGAAGTAGCGAAAGAAAGAAATGAAATTCTAAAGGCTATCTTAAACAAAAAGTAGAGGAGTATGTCTCTATCATGTCTATTTTCTGGTTCCTGGTGGACATTTTTTAGCCATACCTACTCAAAGGCTAAGGGTCATCCAAGCAGTAGTTATCATTTGCAAGAACGTTAAATATTTGCAGCTTCCAGTTTTTGGTTTTATTTTGATCCTTGTGAATACCAGTGTTCATGCCGTACCCGAGACTTATCGTTTTTGCTGTTTATAGTAGTATATTTTCAGCAAACCATAACAGTGACCTTTGTTACAATTTAGCAAGCCATGCTGTGGACATTACTTAACCAGTGGATTTTCCAGTCTGAGGACATGTTGAATACCAAAGTGTTTATTTATTTTGTTCATTTATTTTGTTTAACAGATCATGTAATCGCTGTTGTCAAGTTGGACCAAGTTGATGTAAAGAATGAACAAAAAGTGCCAAACTTTTATTTTATTGTTTTATTTATTTTAATAAATAATTTAAAAAGCAGATTGTTATCAGTTTGTCTTTATTATAACATTGAGGCATGGCAGTGTCACCATGAGTTAAGGGTCTTGAAAACACAGATTAAATCTACAGGAGAAGGGCAATGTCATTCCTCTTTGCAACAGCATCAGGTGGCAACCCCTCGAGTAGTGCCTCTTCATCGATCAACTCATCTGCCTGGTGATCGTCATCACCAACAATGTCATCATGAAACATTTCCCTCATGAGAATAAAATTATAAACACACATGCTGCTACAATGAAGTTGCACATTTCCTCCTGTTAGCTGCATGTCAAGATACTTCAGTCTCCGAAATCTACATTTCAGGAGTCCTATAGCTCTTTCAACATCCACCCTTGTTGATGCATGGCATTTGTTAAACTTCTTTTCTGCAAGGGATAAATGTCCATTGTCCTTGAATGGAACCATGATGTACGGAGCAAGTGGGTAGGCTGAATCACCAATAAGATGGAAGTCGGGTGGCAAATATCCTTGCTCAAGTTTGCGTCTTAATGGGCTGTTCTTGAAAACTCTGCAGTCATGAACCGACCCCGGCCAGCCTACATAAATGTCGGTGAACTGCAGTTTGACGTCGCAAACGACCTGTAACTGCATGCTCGAGTAACCCTTCCTGTTGATGAATGCATCTCTATTACAGGATGTACCAGAGATTGGAAAATCCTTCAGCCACAGCCCCTAGTTCATTGAGAGTTGGCAACTTTATATATTCCTTGACTGTTGAAGAAATTGCTCCACAGACACTGAGAGCAATAACATGCAGGGATCCTTTGCTCAAACCAAACCTGTCGGCAATACCACGATAGGATTCCTGATTGGCAAGTAGCCACAAAGTTGACAGTAGCTTTCGTTCTGCAGTCAGTGTTCTCTCGGGTAACAGTGGTGCAATCCGTTCACAAAGGTCCTACAACAAGAAACAGTACTCATACTACTGGCTCAGTAGACTCTTTAACCCTTTCCATGCTGGCTAAATTATTATTCTATGGGATCTGCCAGTAATATTACCCTACCAGTATGGAAATAGTTAAGCTTCAACTAGTAAGATTTGTTAACCCAATTTAATGCAGTTGGTTTCCTCTTGTCCAAATAGTATTTGGCATGTTCTAAATGAAGGGTTGCAAAGCAAAACAACCTTAGTCACAATTTCAAACTTTTCAGGAGAACGAAAAAATCGAGTTTTTAAATCTGTTGCATTTTTTTTACAATATTCATTATTAAACCTTAGCCATGCTTTAAGCAAAGGCAATTAGTTACCTGACCATCCGATTCTCCCCAAAATGTAACAGAAAATGATTATTTCATATGTGCAGTACTAAGCAGAATCACCTTAGTCACATCAAAATTGCAAAGCAAAATGACCTTAGTCAGCAAAGTTTCATGTCAAAAAAGCCAAGGTTACGTTTGATCTTTAATACTTCAAAAGTGCCCCCGTCTTTGTCAAAATGTGACTTAAAATGCATCTAGTGATTGTAACATTCATTACCACTGACAGGTTTTAATACTTTTACCGCAGTACCATCTAATGGTTGTGAATCTTCAACCACTGTTGTAACAGCAGTACCATCTAATGCTTGTGAATCTTCAACCACTGTTGTAACAGCAGTACCATCTAATGGTTGTGAATCTTCAACCACTGTTGTAACAGCAGTACCATCTAATGCTTGTGAATCTTCAACCACTGTTGTAACAGCAATACCATCTAATGGTTGTGAATCTTCAACCACTGTTGTAACAGCAATACCATCTAATGGTTGTGAATCTTCAACCACTGTTGTAACAGCAATACCATCTAATGGTTGTGAATCTTCAACCACTGTTGTAACAGCAAAACCATCAAGTGAAGATACATCAACTTGGGCAGCAACAACATCACTGTCGACCACCAACAGAGCCTTATCTTCACATTCTTCACAATTAGGGTGTTCATCTTCTTCTGATGAGTCCTGAGTATCCAGCACATATTCAGGATCTTTGCCGTCACAAACATCTGAGAAACTATCCGGATCACTTTCCCTGTCATCATAAAAAATCATGCGAACAACATCATTAGTAGGAGGTTTTTCCATTTTTACATCTATTTTGTGCCTTCCTCGGTTTCCAGAGTGGATCGTGTTGGGTAAGATATGGAGTAAACCCACCTGCGGTGTGTCAAAGGGGGCTCTGATAAGGACTGTAGGATACAATGTCCAAAGCAAACTTCTCCAACATAATCGTTAACCAATTGTGACCATTGATTGATGTCACCATTTGGGTTGACAACAAAAAAAGCCAAATATGGACTGTGAACCAACATTTGACGTGCTGTTGATGGAGAAACTGGTAAAGAACTGCATATTTCCAAACACCGTAGCTTTGGCATGGACTTCACAATCTTGAGTTGATCCTCTTCTTTGAGATCTTGCAATCCATTGGTTACCAAGTGGGTTACTCCTGAACATAACTGAAGACTGTTAGATACATCATTGATATCATATCCGATCCATCCAGAGATAGTTAACTTCCTCAAATTGTTCAGTAAACTGACACTGTGCAATGATGTTAGATGTACAGTGCTTAAAAGAAGTATTTCAACTTTCAGACAAAGGGGTAGGTATTCAGTTAGGTCAATGTGATGGTTCAATTTTTTGCGACAATCACACAACTGCAGATCCAACCAGGTTTGTCTCGACCATAGGGATTTGCTATGAGCTATCAGTTTCCAATATTTGCAGACAGAGGCAACGTCCCTAACAATCTCAAAAGGGGAGAGGTACTGGAAAATCTCAACCAAAACTTCTGAAGGCAGTCTATTCATTTGGGAACTGAAATAATAAAAGAAATGTTGTCATGTAGTTTTCCAATATGAGAGGTTTTTTAGAGAAATAAAGCTTTGATGGTTCTTTTATTGTTTTCTATCCAACCTACAGTGTAAAATCCTAACATTGATAAATAAAGGTTACTTGTCACTAAAATCCATTTTCACTGTTTAACTTCAGTAAATACAATATCACATTTAACAGCTAAAGTTGAAGTATTACCCATTGAAATATTTCCCAGTTAGGATTCTCTAATATCAAGGTGTAGCCATATAAAATTGAAAATAATGATGAAAAAGAAATTACTTGCAGAAAAACCTAAGTCACAAAGATCTGTTTAAACCAATTTTCTCATTTGGAAGCTAATCTTACATCAAAAGTGGTTGGGTTTGTTGAAACGGGATTGCTCTTTGTCGTCTACATACAACAACTCACCTCAAATTCTCCAGAATATGGAGAAGTCGGACATTCTTCAAGGCAGCACTGCATCCAAAAACATGTGGACAAAGTCACTTTCATACCTCCTTCTGAAGAGTTGTGTAATCATTACCAAGCAAAAAGACCAAAGTCAAATAAGTTCCTGCCAAAACAACCTAAGTCTGACTAAGGCCATTTTAGCATACTTCAAGAAACTTTGAAGAGCTATATTTCAAAAACTAATATTCATATGAAGACCACAGTTGGACCAAAGGGTAGCTGCCAACTTAAGCAATCATTTTGTGCTATTATTCAAAAATGACCTAAGTATGACATAGGCGGTTTTGCTTTGCAACCCTTCAAATATACTCCAGTCTGGAGGATGCATTTATTAAACTAAATGTGTTTGTTTATGATGATGATGAATTCTTTTGTCCGAATAAAATTATTGTCACTAGTACCTGAAACGTCGATCTTTTCATCCTGAAATGATCTGAAATCGAAGTCCCTGTATTCTGTATCCCTTCACACTTGCTGTTTGCTCTTGAGTTGTCAAACACATACCCAGCGTTATAGTTGATGTTAAGGATGATATCCTTGCAATGTTTACAGCAGGTAGCAGGCAGGTTCCCTCTGCTAATTCACTGAGAACTACACGTTCTTCTAAAGATAACGCCATTTTGCAAAACGTTTGCACAAAACTCTGCATTCATCAGGTGAACAGAATGTCGCAAAACGTTTTAGGCTATTGAACACAAGGAAGGTCTCTGCTGTAAAATTATTTCCATCACATTTTTAAATAACTGTTGTGTATTTACCATTCCTCCTGAGTGGCATACAATTCCATTTCCCTCAACAGGATTCAAGCGATGAACTTGCATACACTCACACTTAATAAACTGAACCTGATGAAGTGTGTTAATTGGTACGACGTGTTCTTGTTTAGGAACAAATTACAGTTTCATTTCCCTCAGCATGATTTAAGTGATAAGCCTGCATATGGATACACTTATTAAAATCAACCTGTGTCTAAGGAATTCAACAAGAGCAAATACATTCTTGGTCATTGTGGGGTTATTCAGAATACTATTTATGCTAAAAGAAAATACAAATATAATGATGAGTTTCTAAAATGCGGGCCCTCTTATTTTCGGCTCCTATAACAGGCACTGAAGTGGGCCCACATTTTGGAATGACATTATTGCCACTGTATGCACTTGGTTCAACAATATATATGGATGGAAATAATGATGCTACAAAATACTTCCCGATATATGAACTTTTACAAAATCTCATGTCACAGGTATTACTTTGTTCGGTAAGTTCAAACTGATCGTGTTGGCACTAGTGGAGCCAAAACAGCAAATACGAAACTAAAGCGCTTAACTCCTAATGCGGGAAACATGCTAAAATTTACTTCCTTTCATCCAGCCATAATGAATCGCCTTCATGCTTCTGTAGTGGATGCTATTTTGGGGAAACTGGATTCCTATCGTCAAAGTCCTGTTCCTGGGACAAGAAATCAATCTCCATGAAGCTGCCAGATTTTGAGAACCAACATAAAGAGATCTCTGACATCGCTATGGCCACAACAGAACCTGAGGAGGAATCTGAACTTCAGGATGATGAAGGCACATCTGCAGATGTACACCGGACGTCTGTCTGTAACCTTCAACATCTGCCCGCTGACGGACCCATGAGCGAGGTTGATGTTGACGACTTCGTTGCTGCAATATACCAGTTTGACATAAGTTCTACTTTGGACAGGTACTTGAAACCGATGAAAGATATGCTGTGATATATTTTATGGTGTCTTTTGGGAAGACAAGAAGTATTGTTGGCCATTTTGGTAAGCAAGCGTTTGATTCTGAGCAAAATCAACGACCCTGAACCAACTAGAAAGTAGGAACATCTTTTCACATTTGTGTCCTCACATGTGGATAGAGTACAGAAGTAGTACAACGAGTACACGGTACAGCCGGTAGCAACTGGTACTATGGCTTTATGCGCAGACACCCAGAGCTGTCTTTATGGAAACCCGAAAAGCTCTCTACATCCTACATGTTTGAAGGAGACATCCAACAGTACAACACAAGTTAGGGTCGTATTTTAACTGATGAAGCTCTCATCCATGCTCCAGCAAAACTATGGAACATGGATGAGAGTGGATTCTATCTGGAACACACAACCGTTACTTTAGCTGCAGGAAAAGGCTGTAGGAGGGTCCCGAGTAGGGTTAGCATGGCTCGGGACAATGTCACCCTTGTGGCATGCGTTAACGGCGATGGCGATAAAATGCTACCTATATTTTTTGTCAAAGGTAGAACCCCCAGATACTATTGTTATTCAATACTGCCAACGGACATCGTGCACAATCTGGGCTTTTGAGGAGAAAGGTTGGGTTGATGATGAGCTTGGTGCCCTGTGGTTCCGTAATGTTTTCTTAAAACTATGGCCCTTAGAGACCACATATTCTTATTGTTGACCAGCACCACAGCAATGAAGTGCTGGAGACATTGTTTCGTGTGATCAGGAGATCATTATGCTCGTCATGGCCGCTCATAGCAGCAAATGACTGCAATTCCTCGGCAAAGGGTGTTTTCAATACCATTTGTACAGAGTTCATGAGTAGAAATGTACAGAACTTCGTGACCAAAATATCATATGCGGGGTTGTATGGCAGGGCTTGGTCTGATTCTACGACTCCTAGTAACATTAAGCAAAGGTTCAAAATTACAGGGATATTCCCTTATAACCTATCAGCCATACCTCCCCGGGCTTTCAGACCATGTCTGTCTGCACCGACAACTGACCTGTCCCGTCTTTTTCCCCCTAGATCCTCATCTTAAGTTGCCTTGCCACAGACGACCGACAATCCCGTCTTTCTACGACAACCATTGGGAGTTTAACGTCGGCTTCATTTGAGTTGAAAAATAATGTAGAGCAGAGTTGGGGCTAATGTTGTAAAACTAGTTATACCAAAGATATTAAATAAGTGGGGAATAAGTCTTTCCACACTGACGACTGACCAGTCCCATCCTTCTACACTGACGACTGGCCAGTCCTGTCTTTCTACACTCACGACTGACCAGTCCAATCTTTCTAAACTGACGACCAACCAATCACATATTTCTACACTGATGACACCAATCCCGTCTTTCTACACGGACGACTGACCAGTCCACTTTCTACACTGACGACTGACCAGTCCATCGGTAAGCTGTATGTGGAATCCACCAATGTGCAACTGAAAATATATGTTTTCAAATAGAAGAATACATGGTGCAAGTGTTTTTAATGTTATATTCACGTTTCATTGGGTATTACGTTGTGTATTTTGCTATTTTGAAAACCAGTACAGGCAATGTAGGCCGAGCTCTTTTCATTTGTTGTTACCTTAGCAATGGAAGTTATGTCATGTACATTGTTAGCGCTGGTGTTACAAATAAATATGTTCTTCAACCTGTCAACTGGTTTCCACATGAAGGAACACCAAATGTGTGAAGTGTGAGGGTAAAGATATTGCCTTGGTAAGCAGCAGCCCTTACTGTTAGTCATAACTGTGTTTCCATACGAAACAGGGTTAGGGTCCTTATTTTTTTTCTATGTAACTTTGTAGCAAATAAAACTAATGTTTTGAATACCGTAGTTCGTTATTTGTATTTCAACACAACTGCAGGTGCCCGTCTTCAAGTAATGGGCACTAGGCTGTTACCAAGCCCAAATCGAAAACGAAGCTAAAAATATCAACCGTGATTCTTTCATCACCACGGATACAAAACGGAGGTTGCTCCGTGCACTGCAACATATAATTTACCGTGATCTTAGGATTACGAGAGCGAATTACCGTTGGAATTATTATGTAAAACAGATCCAAGCCTTCTCTTCACCTTGTTCCATAGGTCTACCTGATGTGGCGTAATTCTTTCATCACAAGGGATGCAAAACGGAGAATCCTCACCTTTTAACAGGTATTCATGCTTATATCTGGTGTGGCCAATACGACATCGTCGCATAATGACCTCTTCAAATCTGGACTGACAACCCGAGTAGGTGTAACCAAGATAGGGTTTTATTTCATGTAATTTACTAATACATACTTGGGTGTCCCACTTCTTCTGCATTAGATCACGGATATCAGATCTGATGACAGCTTTATAATCAGAGTATGGGATCGGAAGTGGTGTCACATATTTGTGGAGTGCTGCCTTAGCAGCAAGATCGGCCATTGTGTTCCCAGAAATGCCAACGTGGCTGGGTAACCAACAAAAGACGATGTCGCATTGACCAGTAACAAGATCATTATATAATTTCTATTAAAAGTGAATGTTTACAAGAAAGATTTTTAATAGCCTGAAGTCAAGAAAGAGAGTCAGAAAAGATGATATATTGTTTTGGATCCAACGACAGTGGCACAAGCAACTCCGCCACCATCCTTGGACCCATCTGTAAATAAGGATTTATATGTATTATATTTATTTCTTAATTGACTAAATTCTTGTTTATGCTGTAATTCATTAGTTTCTGACTTTTTAAATGTGGTTGATGTTAGGTCAACTTGTGGCCTGACCAATTGCCAAGGGGGAGAAGAAAGAATACGGGAAGGAGAAATATTTTCTAGCTCAATGCCAGCAACAGAAAAGAAAGGTTTAATTCACATAATTCCTAGAGGCGGAAAGAGACGATTTCTTGGTGTATAACTCCTCATAGAGGGATTGTAAACACAATTATATGCAGGGCTAGATTTGTGAGAGTACAGTTTGGTAATATACCGTAAAGATAGTTTTATACGGCGGTGTGCAAAAGATTGCTCATCTGCCTCGACGTAGAGACTGGAGAATTTCGAAAAGACCCAAGACAAAGTCTTAAGCCTTTTGGTGGTTGACAGAATCAAGTAGTTTTATGTTGCTTTTGCACGCTCCACCATAGACGATGGAGCCATAATCAAGTCTGGAACGGACCAGTGATCGATATAGATGAAGGAGGGTAGCTTGATCCCCTTCCCATTTAGAATTTGAAACCACTTTTAACAAGTCAAGTGCCTTCAGGCATTTAGTTTTATGGGATTTAATGTGTGGCAGAAACGTTAAGTGTGAGTCAAAAAGCAGACCCAAGAACTTGGCCTCCTTGACAACTTTGATGGGCGTGCCATCTAGGGTCTTTATGTGGGTTGTATTTACGGCAGAAATGTATGGGGAGTTTTCGATTTAGAAACTTTAAAGCCATTTTCAAAACACTATTTATCTATCTTTTTAAACACAAATTCAGTTGCCATTCAATAGTATGCATTTTTCTTCCACGACAAGAAATATTAAAATCATCCTCAAATAACGATCCATCTATATACTAAATAGTGTGACAGACAAAATACTGCCTTGTGGAACACCCTGATCCTGATTGTAATGATTAGACAGGGTTGAACCCACGCAGACTTGAAATTGTCTGTCGTTTCCATGCTGTGTCATACACTTCAAACCCGGGTCAAGATCTTGCGGGCATGATATCGACAACACACTTCCTAACGTGTCCGCAATGCCCAGTCCTTCCACTGTCCATATACACATACAGGCTGACACGTCAGGTCTTTTCCAAATAGGGAATAGTAGCGTGGTTATCAACAATTACTTCCATGAATAAAGTTAGCGGCGACTAAACTTAAAGAGCTCACTGCTTGAATTGGGCGTGTCGATTGTCATATAGTAGGAGAGATTAAAGCATGAAAAAAATCAAATAATTGTCTTGCTCACAGTATAAACTGTATTTTTTATAATCTCTTTATCATACTTGTTAGTCACGATATCGCTGAAATATTGACTCACTCACTCCCTATGATACTTGTTACAAACAACCAGCATTTATGTTGTTGAAAATGTTTTATGTTGTTAACTACACAAGCTGTCCCTCAACTGGACAATTCCAAGGAATTTCCAGGAAAAAGGCCCATGCACGCTTTGTGTTCTTGCGCGCCAAAGAGTCTGGTTTTGAAACGCTTATCAGTCCTGCTCAAATGTAATAAAACTACTCCTTTATCGTTGATTTAAGACCGCAAAATGTTCAGTTTTAAAATTACATTTAGTGGTCATAAATATAAAAGATAAAGGACCGCAAAATTGAAAACAGAGTAGCTATATCTAATAAAGAATGATCAACAAAGTAATGACTTCTTTTTCTTTGAAGTTTAAAGGGTCTCTAACTGTCCTACCTGGTTAGAATGCCATTCTGGATATAATGCCATATTTTCTCCTGGACAAACGGTAGCATTATAACCAGGGTATACGATAACTGAAAAACCTATAATGAGCATTCAGGAATTTACTTTTCCAAAGAGGACTAGCCTCATGTTATTTTATTTGGATAAAGTTGGTAATTGATAAATAAGCCTTTCATGGTTTCATATAATGCTTTATCACAAATGGATAGCGTTCTCGGCAGGATAAAATATCCGCTGGGGTCATACACGGATACCGATATCGATGCAAAAGAGAGGTCATATGCAAAATTTTCAGTGTAAGCAAACATGGTGTCACGCCCATCTATCGGCGATCGTGTCCGGATTGACGACCGTGGTTACGGTACTGTGAGTACTTTGATCCTAGAAAATTCATGCTTGGTAATGATAGATGGAGTGGGTGAACGGAGCGAAATTAGAATTTCATAGGCTTACGAAAATACCAACACCAGTTCCCAGACCGACGGTGCTAGCAAACAGACAGCACAGGAATCCAGTTTTCGTACCGTAGAAGATGACATAGAAAGATAATTGAGAACAATAAAAACAAGAATAATGAACGAGTTTCGTCCTATACTATTACCTCCTAATTAACTCCACTTTCATGTGCAAATTTCTGATTGGTGTCACGAAAGAGTACGGCTCAGACCCCTAACTCTCAGATCGTATCTTGCTAGTGTTGACAGATATCTCAAAACCAGAATATGACCTAAACTTTTCTCATTCACAAAGGTTCTCAAAGGTTCGAAGCGTCTTAAAATCACATCAAGTCGATTTAACAAATAACAAAGAAATGGTAAGTTACAAAAATCGTGGAGATCACAAACAGACGAAGACGTTCAAAAACTGTGGGAGAGCAGCCATTCTGGAATCAACACTCCTCATGCCTCATCAACACATTGAGCAATGTTCGTCGGCACACGTGTTTTGGGATGGTTAATATTCTGCATTTGGAATAAACAAGGCTCGCTACATACTATAAAATGTGTATAAAAATAAACATAAATAAAACGTTTATATAATAAAGTAATAAAAGTCCCTGCAGGAGACAAATGGACACTTCATTGTCAAGAACGGTGTTTCGGAAACTGGTAGAAGGTTTGAGAAAGCAGCGTGTTTTCCGAGATAAAACCATGCAGCTGGAAACGCTGACAAGGAACTCATATCCCGTTATCGACTCACAAGCAAAGACAAAGTTCGCTCAAAGTCGAAAGACCGACACAGTGTCCCAAAGCTGATAGTTCAAATATGACTTGCTAAATATTCTCAAACTGAAAAACATATTTGTTAAGGCATATTCCTATCTAATCTCCTGGCTGTTCATTTTAAATAATTCAATTGAAACAAATATGAATTAATATCCACAAATGGAATAAAACATTTATTGAAAAGTGAAATTCAATTACAATGTTTAAAGATTAAATCCCATATCAGAGATTTAATATAATCGTTTTGAAACTCGAAGCGAACAATGTTCGAGGCGCACGTACAATCTCAATAACAAGCCCGTAAGATCGTCAGAAATACCCTCAGTTGGACCCATGAGAGCCGTAATGTCAACAAACGCACGTGCATGTATTTGAATCTCTCACCGTCTATGGCACTATCCTAACTAAAATTTACACGAGGCAACACAATTCTGTTAGCTACGTTCCTTGTGCTTTCAATATGACGATATATATTTTTTATGATTTTGTAAACAAACACATAATGCCCTAACCGATTTAAGTACTCAGGATTATTTTTATCAAAACACCTCAATCATTATGCTCGTTCTGATTGGTTTGTCGTATTTTCGCACATAACAAGCATCGAGACGGGGGACGAGTCTTCTTGGGGGTTACGGAAAGGGTCGAGTGGTGACGAATGTCACAACTACTCTTAACTTTGCGTTATCTGCGAAAAGTTGGGTTTCTTTCTCAAATTGGGAGATTTGGTCTGGACAAATCAAGTGTATCACGGGGCTTCCATTGTACGGTGAAAGCAATATGCACGGTCTTAGATAATATTACTTTTCCTTGGAGTCTCGAACTGCAACTAAGGTGAAGCAAGATTTCTACTGAGGCGGTCATTTCCCCAAAGTTCTCGGTGCTGTGGACGGAACACTTATTCCTATCAAACGACCTTCTCCAAACAAGGAAGTCGCCTTCGTATGCCTAAATTTACGACTACAATTACAATAAAGATACTTTAGCTACATTTGTTTTCGATATCAACGAATTAGTGAGTGAGTGAGTGAAGATTTTAAGTCACATCGGCAATATTTCAGCCATATCGTGGCTATAAACAAGTTGCGAATTCACCATTAATACATGTAAATTATAAAAACGAAAGACAGTAAAATCAGCTAGAATATCACAGTATCAAGGAATAAAACTAGCAACTCTCTCTAAAATTGAATTTCAAATTAAGACAACACAGTATAAAAATGGGCTATAGATCGCCAACAACTGAAGGTAGATCACCATACCAGGGACCATGGGGACTTACATTACTTTTGCTACCTGCTTGGACCCTAGTTGAATTTACACCATCCCTTCAGCTGTCAGCATTTTTGACAAACTAGCCGTAAATTTAAAGAACATGTATGCTACGATTAAAAGTAACAGTAGGTTTAAATCTACCTAGAATGCTTTGGGACATACATACCCTCTCAGGAAGACAATAATTTTACAATACTTTAACCCCCTTTGAGGGTTCAGCCACTAACAATCTCAGTTATTAATCTAAGCTACCAATAATAAAATATTTATCTATTGACAAATCAGTTAACAAATCTAATTCTTTTAAAAATGCAATAATTAAATGAGAATTTATATTTTTAAAAAGATCCTTCATAGTTCGTGATTTAAAATAGTTATCCCTTGTGATGGAATATTCAACACAGTCAAGCAAGACATGCTTGACCGTGATTCTTTCATCACAAGGGATGCAGAACGGAGGATCCTCACCTTTCAATAGGTATTCATGAGTATATCTTGTGTGGCCAATACGACATCGTCGCATGATGACCTCTTCAAATCTAGACCGACAACCCAAGTAAGTGCAACCAACATAGGGCTCCATTTCATGTTATTTATTAATACCCACTATGGTGTCCCACTTCTTTTGCATCAGACCGCGGACAAAAGATCCAACAGCAGCTTTGTAATCAGAGCATGGGATCGGAAGTGGTGTCACAGATCTGTTGAGTGCCGCCTTGGCAGCAAGATCAGCCACCGTGTTCCCAGGAATGCCAACGCGGCTGGGTAACCAACAAAAGACGATGCCGCATTGGCCAGTAGCAAGATGATTATACAATTCAATAAATTCTAATAAAAGTGGATGGTTACAAGAAAGATTTTTAATAGCCTGAAGCAACGAAAGAGAATCGGAAAAGATTATGTATTGTTTATATTTAACGGTTTATTAATATATTTAAGAGCCGTTAATATGGCGTTAGCTTCTGTTGTGAATATAGAGCTGTTGTTTGGTAGTTGGACCCATCTGTAAATAAGGATTTGTATGTATTATATTTAGGTTTTAATTGATTATATTCTGGTTTATGTTCATCAGTTTCAGATTTCTTAAACTGTCAGAGTTAGGTCAACTTAAGGCCTCACCAGTTGCCAAGGAGGAGAAGAGAGAAGACGGGAAGGAGATATATTTTCCAGCTCAATGCCAGACGCAGAAATAAATGGTTTAATTCTTAGCCAAAGAGGTGAGGTGAGGTGAAATTGGGTTTTACGTCGTGCTTGAGAATATTTTGCTCATATGACGACGTGCATGCGTGTGTATGTGTATGTGCGGCTGCTTGTTCTAGCCCAGACTGACGCTGGTTTTATAGTGCTAGCTCACTGAGATACCATGCCGCAGTGAAGCACGAATACCCCACTCATTATACTCCGAGCCGACCAGTCCTTGTTGTACCCATTAATGCCGAGCGCAAGGCAGGGACCAACAAGTACCATATTTTAACGTCTTTTGGTATGACGCGGTTGGGGCTCGAACTCGCAACCTTCCGCTCTCCGGGCGGATGCTCTAACCACTACACCACGGAGGCGGTCTCTTAGCCAAAGAGGCGGAACAAGAGAAGACTTTTTCAAAGTTTTTGTTGTATAAATCCTCATAAAGAGGAATAAAAACACAGTTAGATGCAGGTTTTGACTCAATAGAATATAGTTTTGTTATATGAGTCATTTTCAAAAAATGTCAGGATTAAAAACAGTCATATTTGGAGAAATTTTCAAAGGTGGGAACTTTTATTTGACATTATCTTGCTGAGAATGTACTAGATACTTGAATAAAGTTGTTTGTAATTGTTTTGTTATGAATAAGTTTTGCATTTCTATTCGAGGTACTGCCAAAACTCAATGTCCCAAACTTAAAAATAAACTTTTGAAACAGATAATGTAATATAAATTTCAGAGAAATCAGTTTATTTCAAGTCATTATAATTTAGTTTTGGTGTTCTGTTTGAGATTCTATGGTTGTTATCAGGTAACTTTACTTTTAAAGGTGAAAAAAAAAGAGATAAGTGCTTGTCCCTAAAAGTATGTTCTTTCCTGTTACCATGAGGTTAATTCCATTTTAAACAATGATGCCTCCCTCTGAATCATAAAGAGGCTGGGTCATAATAAGGTCACTTCCTTCAAATCCAGCATGGTCAAGAGTGAAATCAGATGGCATTGAAAATATTTTAAATCAAATCAATCAAAGGTCGAAAAGGTGAGTAGTACTTTTTATGTGATTCTATCCTGTAACTGATGTTCTTAAGATTTCTACTGCTTGTTGAATTTTATATTAGCCTCATTATATGTGTGGTGTGTGTAAGATTAGTTTCCCATCAAAAGTTTACTTAGTTGTTCAGCTATCATTCACTAATGATTGGTATAAGGATGGATTTTCTGTCCTGTTACTTTCTATCCTGTTACTGAACCCATTTGGCAACAGGAAAGAAACATCAGGTAACAGGATATAATTAGCAGTAAACATTTTTCATTAAAACAGCTTTGTAGAAAAACCAAAATTACACAAATTTGAATAAAAAGGATTTATAAAGGTTGTTTATAGAACATTGAAGTTTTAGAGCTAATAAGTTATAGTATTTCCCTTTAATTCCCAAAATGGTAACAGGAAAGAAACAGCAGGTAACAGGATAGAATTAGCTGTCAGCTTTTTTTCTTTATAACAGTTTTGAAGAACACCATAAAGTAAAACTTTGATGAAAAGGGATTTATAAAGCTTACTTCTTGAAAAATTAAGTATCAGGACCAGTAAAAATTGATATTTTGCTTTTATTCCTAAAATAGTAACAGGAAAGAAACAACAGGCAACAGGATAGAATCACACATACACTTAGAAGTAGTTTGAGGAATTTCACTGTTTTTGAGCATATTATGGACGTCTTATTTCATTTCACTGCATTGACGAAAATCTGATATTAATCATTGCATGCATCCTGGATGCATCCTCATATTGAAAGGATTGCCATTCATATTTGTTGGCCCCAATCCTGGATGCATCCACCATGTAGCATAGCCATCCGAATGTGTAGGCCCCATCCTGGATGCATCCTCATACTGCAATTATGCCCATCGGGATTGGTAGGGCCCATCCTGAATGCATACTCATATTGAAAGGAGAGCCATTCATATTTGTTGGCCCCAATCCTGGATGCATCCACCATGTAGCATAGCCATCCGGATTTGTAGGCCCCATCCTGGATGCATCCTCATACTGAAAGGATACCCTAAGCCGGATTTGTAGGGCCCATCCTGGATGCATCCTCATACTGAAAGGATAGGCATTAGGATCAGGTTTAGGGTTAGCATCAGGGTTAGGGTATAGGCTTATATGCGAAGGGTTAGGGTATAGGCTGATATGCGAAGCGAACATGGGTTAGGGTTAGCAGGGTTAGGGTTAGGTTAGGTTAGGTTAGGGTTAGGGAATAGACATTTTGACGGAATTGCAACTGTTGCAATTGAAGGGAGGTAACTGCTGTGGGCATTGTAAATAGAAAGAAGCTGCCGTAAAATTCATTCAAGGGAGATAACTGCTGTCGGCATTGTATTTACTCTCACTACATTCCTAGGTGGCGTTGTGTCATAGTCACATTGTGTATCCTCCTGGAAGCTTCTAGAAGGTTCTCGTATGTCACGTGACCACGTGGTCGAAGCATGTTTGGGCGCATTTGAGTAGTGGACGTTGATGAGGTAGCATCACATTGTTGAGTTGGCACTGGGCAGGACGTTTGGAAGGACTTGCAATAGTGAGTACGTTTGGAGTCATGTTTATCGTTTATTCAAGCCATTTAATGATACTATTAATTGAAAGTGTATGATTACGAGTGTAAATGTAGCTACTTACTTTAGTGAAGGGTTTGAAACTTTGTTTTTGTGAATATTCCATAGTGTTTAAACATACTGTGCACACATGAACTCATGTTTTGTAAAGTAAATTGTTAAGGTGTAAAGAATTACGTTCATTAGTTGACTAAATTATCAAACTGACTGAAAATTGGGTAATTTTGAACAAACCCTCATACTAGAAGGTATCTGTTGACATGCGCTATATTTGCATATGCTTTTTAAAAACAAAAATCATGCATAGTGCCAGTGCAAGTAATCTGCATCAGGTTTGCATATGGTTCCCCTAAGTTAGTGTAGAAAATTGTAGTCAGTGCTTCTGTAAATAATAACTGGTTATATATTCCTCTTATTTTTGTTAAAGATATAGATATGTCCTTGATTGTGTGTGTTGTATGAGGCTATCTCCCTGGTAATTCCTGTTGTCTTTATTGCAAAATGCCATTGTTGAAAAAAACAAACTTAAAAATATGTTTGCATATACAACAATTTTCCTTTGGTGTCATTTACGAAAAAATGCATGTGTTCAGTTCCTTCATTATGTACTTGTGTTTGTATTTTACTTTGTACACAAATTTCAACTAGTTTAACATAGTAAAAGTGTCCTAAAATAATCAGCAGTAAATAAATGTGTACTTGTTAGTGTCTCTTTGTAAAGGTCATCACATTGAAACACATGAACTCATTACAAATTAGGGCTTTATATATTTGTGTATTACTGCTAACATGAACACATGCAGGTATGAATCTTCTTAAATAACTTACTGTTATTGGTTTGTGTTTATCTATGCACGCGAAAATATATACACCGCGAATAAACCTTTCCTTCATTCATTGTATTATTTACAGGGATTAACATTACTGCGTGTATCTGAGCCAGAATTAGCAATCAGATGTGCAAACTATTTCATAACGAAAACCTATTTTGTGAAGTAAAAATAAGTACAATCTGTTCATATCGTTCAGCTTACCTTCAGACAGAATTAATTTATTTCATAAAAAACAGTTACATTCCCATGCATGTCATGCGTTTTCTACCTAGAAACCTGTATTTGCAGTGGAAGCAATACCATAGTATTACTGCACATAACGTCTCTTTTTTTCCATGCTTTCGTTGGCTGTATGAGTTTAGCTAAGTTGTAATACTAGGATAGGCCTGTGCTATCAAC